GTCCCCCGGCGGCACTTTTTTTTTGAATTTTTTTCCTTTTCCACGGCGTTTTTCGGGGATTTCGGATTTTTTTTGAATTTTTTCGCAATAATATTTGAAAAATAGATAAGTTTTAACACATTTTAATGCAATAAAAATTTTTGGTCGGAGTCCCCCTTTAACTTTTTACTTTGATCCAATTTATCTCAATTCGTATGCAAAATATCAAAAATGTGAACAATTTATCATGTGTCAGTTTTTCCATATCTTTTACAGGAACCGAAAAAAAAAATATTTAGCCGAAGTTAAAAGTTTTGAAGCCCTTCTATTACAGGCTTCACTGTATAAAGTTTATATAAACCACTAAAGTATCTGACAGAAGGGATATTTGAACCTTTCATTTTACTGGTCTGGTACGGGGAAAATTGAAAAAGGAATTTCGATTTCTATCATTCCTTGATTTGCCTGCAAATTCGCTTTTTTTTCCAATCCCTCTCCTCTTTCAAACCTAATAATTTTACACTTCAAAACACCGGAAATTATTCTCTCCTCTTTCAAACCCTCTATTTTCAATTTTCTGCGTCTCCAAGTAAGCGTTGATTTGTAGTATGCTTTGATTCGTTGCTAGTACTACGATAGAACTCCGCCCACTCAAAATCTCCGCTTGCCTACACTCTTGCCGTTTTGGTAATCCGTTTTTGCAAAATATCACAAGAAAGACCACCCGTATAGTATAAAAAAAGGGTGCTCTATGGATATTGCTCATTCCATTTTATTGTAGTCCAGCAATTTTTTGACTCATTTTAATAGCTTTACCGCCTTCTGGAAGGCGTCCAGGTGTTCAGAATACCTTGAAACCCTGTAATATCTCGGTTCCTGTACTAGGTATCAAAAATGTGTGAACTGATAAAACATTTATAATCATATGATTAACAATTTATCAGTTGACAGTTTTTTTTATATCTTTGACAAGAACCGAGATAAATGGGCTCAAAGTTAAGTGGCTCTCCTGAAACAGGTAATACAAAGGAAGCTTTCTATTCCCATAATGTATCTAGAACGTCCACCCATGTGTTCAGTAGAGCAAATCACAAAAATGTTCTCCTCTCTCTAATTAGAATGCACACGCCCAGGAACAGGATAATCCGCTCTGTGTCCTTCCTTGGGGGAACACACCTTTGAGAAGCCCCTTGTCTCATTGAATGTATCCACCTTGGTCCGTAGCGAGCATCAGGAACATGTCCACCTGAGTCTCTTTCTAATTAGAATAGATAAGCCGATGAACATAACATGTGTATGTGTGTGGTCCGGAGCGCTTGTCTGTTCCGCTTCGTTATTTTCGGTCCAGCTTCTTATTAACATGTGTTCCTAGTATGTAGAATGGTGGGTTTCAGATTTCGTGAGAGCCTTTCTCTATAAAGCAGCTAAACATACTTATTTTGCCTTTTTACCACTCTTCTTCCAAGTTGCTCCTGTCTAGTTTCCCGATATTGTTATATGATCAACCACTATTTGCTAGAATGTTGAGCCAAATTATCTCGGTTCCTGTGGAAAACATCAAAAAGTGGTTAAAAGACAAATAACTCTTGATATCATAATAAAACATTTAGCCAGTTGACCACTTTTTGATATCTTTCAAAGGAGCCGAGATAAATGGGCTGAAATTTGACTGTTTGATGGAGAGCATTCTATTCGATCGCTACGGTAATTCCAACCATGCTTCGGGCTCTTTAGACCCTGATCACTGTGCTTACTCCTCAGAATCCTTGCAACATTTATCCCACACTTCATCCTTGTTTTAAGTATTTTCTTCCCTTAACCTATCCAAAGTAAGCAAGTGCGTTCCACACTACTAGGTCAGGAAAGGACCACACCCGATCTCCAGATTCTTCCTGCTAGCTCTGTTTCAGTAACTTTCTCCAGTTTGCTCTCTTTTGATGTTCAATACTCTTTGTGTTTGCATCCAAAACAGCGATGATTTCATAGTCTGAACCTCCATGCGCTATCTCCAAGATGTTAGAGTGCCTCCTGAAAGATAGTTAGTCAATGAAAATGTCTTCCAAGTCTTTATCGACAAGTTTGAAAAGAACCCAATGCTACTGGCTTCAGAACCATCTCAAGTGGAACTAGACACCTGACATCTTCTAGATAAACCCCAGAATCTTCAAAAAAGAGTTCGAAGGATGAGAACGGAAGGATGGAGGTTGCTGCTCAAGAAGAGCTAGCGGAGAGACACAACGAAGAATTCCGACGAATGGAGAGACTCTGAAAGTGGGAAAGACCTCAAAACAGTTTTTTTTAACAGGTTTATTCATCTTCAAACCTTTGAAATCGAGGGGAAGTGGGGAGAATCGGTGGAAATCGGGAAAAATCATTGGAGGAAATTGAGGGGAAAAACACAGAATCGAGAAAAAGAGAGACAAGAAAGAGGGAGAATTAATAGTGAAGGTTCGAGACGAGTTGAGGAGCTCATTGATGCTCCTTGTGGATTGGACAGCAAGTTGCGGTCACTTGCTCAGCGGTGCACTTGGTGGTGCAGCACTGGTGGACAAGATCAGCGGCGGATTCTGAAAAGAAGATAGTTATTATCAAGGTTATCAATAGAGACACTCACCAGAGTCGCAGACGTCTCCGCAGAGGGAAATAGCGAAGAGAGCCAGCTGAACCTTGCACTCTCGACGGTTGGCGATGGCGAAGTCGAGCTTCTTGACGTCGGTGGAGGTTCCAGTCTTCTCGTGGTGATGGTAGGCTCCAGAGGCCATTGCCAGAAAGCAAGTGAAGGCGACGAGCTTCAGGGAAGAGGTAGGGGACATCTCAGTAGAGAGTTGAGGTCTCGTGAATGATGGGGAGAGGGCAATCGGCTTCGGCGACGACTGATGAGGTTGATGTTCGGGCTCGGCGCTTTAATACCATAGGGGGCGTGACTTCACTCTGAGAAAATTTTTTGAAATAAGGGAGGAGCCAGAGCCGGCGCCCACTGGGCGGCGCCTGTGACACAGCGACTAAAAGACTATACAAGAGACCTAGAAGGTTCCAGACGCCCCAGGGGCTCCGCGCCCCCGGCTTCGTGCTGGGCTCGTACCTGGCACGGAGCTCACCAACCCTAGAGATTGTGTGGAGAGGAGAGATAAGCCTCTTCTTAGAATTCTGAAGATGTCCAGCGTGATGATAATTGTGGCCTCGCGCACAAACGGAGATCACACGGATTCTGAAAAGTGTGGTATGATTTTGATTCTGCGGAGGAGTTGAGAAAGTCAGAGAGGATGACTAGACAGGCAAAAATGAGAGCTACATAACTATGGATATCCGGACAGACAGACAGATAGACAGATTAGCAATTTATTTCCAGGATGTTGAAGAGATTCAGAAAAACTGACTAATTGAAGCATACAGTACCGGTCAATTAGACATACAAAATTGTGCTTTTCAGTTGCTTTCCCGTCATTTTCAGGAATCTGGTGCTCGGTTGTCAAGTTTCTAATCACTTTGAAAATTTAGGAGGGTGTAACACTGACCTAGATGAAAAACTTTGCATTCACAGAACTTTTCGAAATATCCTAGTTTTTCAGCTATTTTTGGATTTCTGAAGTACACCCCTTTCCATTATCTAATCGATAATTTTTTAAGTCAAAGTTGTGGCTTCCAAAAAATATAATTTTTAGGGATTTCGAATATGTGGAATTCGAATTTCGAGTTCGAATACTAGTGTTTTTATCTTAGTTTAGTTTTTAGTCAGTTTTCGGGTCCAGGAGTTTTGGGATTACTATAAGTTTTTTCCAGATTTTTTGACTTCCAGAAAATTTCATCGATTTTTAGGGTTTTTGAGTACGTAGAATCCAAATTGGATTTTTATTTCTTAACCTGAATTTCGTTATAGTCAGTTTTTGAAGCCCAGAAACTTCCGGATTACTGTAATTTACTGTTGAAACTTCCGGAAAATTGGAATTTTTTGGATTTTCAAATATATAGAATTCAAATTTGTGTCCTATTTTTTACCTTAATCTTGTTTTTAGTCAGTTTTCGAGGTCCAAAAGTTTCGGGATTACTGTAATTGTTCGTTATATTTGTATGCGAATATTCAATTTTTGAAAATGTAGACTTATGAAAATTCTAAGTTTTTTTCTATAAATTCAGTTTAAATAAGTTTTTGGTCCGATTTTCTAGATTCAAAAATTCCTTTGGTTTTGCATTACTGTAGTTTTCCTTGTCATAAAGAGCATGAAATTTTTTTTTCTTATCTTTGCTCATTTTTCCTCTGATCTCTCCTATAATGGATTTCTAGGATTCTCAAATCCTCCGATCAATTTTTTTTCGGATTCCTGCTCAATTGTTTTCCAGAAAAAAGAATTTCTGGAATCCTCAAATGCTCAGATTTATTAAAAGAATCTTTTTTGCAGATGATCAAATTTTCCATGTTTCTTCCCATTACTCATCCCTAGAGAGATCAAACCTTCAAATTTTGAAAACTTCTTATAATTTTGAAAAAAAAAGGAAATTGAGAGTTTTTGACTATGGAGAATCTGAAATTTGACTTCTAAATTCAGTTTGAATATGTTTTCTAGATTCAGAAATTATTATTGTTTTGGTGTACGGTAGTTTTTAATATCTTCCGAAATGTAAGCCAAAAATTTGATCTGAGATTTTAGGTTTAGAAATTTCTATGCTGTTTTTCTTGGATTACTGTAGTATTCATCCTTTTCCGACCATTCTTGTGCTAGACCCTTCTAGAAAAATGTATTTCTAGAATGCTCAGCAATTTTCTGATCTACAAAAAAATCTCCGTTTTTCCTCCAATAGATATTTACCCCAATAATAAAATTCTTGAATTCTCAATTGCTCAGGTTTTCCAGATTTCTTCAAATTACTCGTCCTTCTAGAAATCAAAACTTCAAAATCTGAAATTTCAGCTCCAATCATGCATTATCCATTTTCCATTCCAATTTTTCAGCATCGATGAACTGTTTTAATGAGCATACATGATCTGTCAAGTCCTTTTAAAATTTTCCTAGTTTCTCTTTTTCGAATTTCCAGAGTTTCTCTCCAATATTCACGTTCACAACAGGGATACAAATCTCATCCTTAACACCAAAAAAAATGAGTTTTCAGACAAGATACTAACTATACGGGAGGGATTAGTTGACTATTCAGAAGCCTAACGCCTTCCAGAAAGGAAATAATCCTATTAGGAAAATAAAATGTTCCTAGTTGGGATTATTTTATCCAGGTTCTGGGTTCTTGAAGATGATTGGGCTCTCTTCTAGTTTAGAGGTCCGAAAATGAAATAGAGGTCCCAAGAAAAAATAAAAGTCCGAAATTGGAAAAAACAAAAAGTGTGCGAGAAAGTAAAATTCTGGGATCTTATTCAAAAAGTGCGTATTGATGATATATTTTATACAAAAAAAACTAAGCCTGAGAGACAGCATATTCATGGAGGCATTACTGTTTGCTGACATTTTTCTTATATGTAAATTGGGGTCCATTAGAAAGACCCAAAAGAAATTGAGTCACATTTCTACACTTATCATCCTATAGAGCCTTAAAACTCAAAACTCCACATTCTGGTACATAATTCCAATATCTGTGCGTTTTCCAATTTCGGACCGCTATTTTTTTTTGGACATCTAAATTTTTTTGGGACCTCTAAACTAGAAAAGAGCCGTAACATTTTCAGCTACATTCAGGTTACTGTAGAATCCACAGTCACTAAGATTTAGAAAAAAAAAAAGATTTTCAGCCATTTCCAGAAGTCTGGAGCTCGGCTATCAAGTTTCCGACCACTTTGAAAATTTTGGAAGATGTAAAGAAGACATAATTTGAAAACTTTGCATTAGTGGAATTTTTTAAAAATCCTAGTTTTCAGCTATTTGCCGACTGTTTTCATAGAATTCTTTAAAAGACTTTTCTGTGTCTCTGATTCGTTTCTAACACTACAATCTCCGCCCCCCACCCCCTCAAAATCTCCATAGTGAAAACAAGAAAGCGTGTCAAGATCATATGCTTGGCTACACTCTTGCCCTTGTAATCCGTTTTTGCAAAATATCACAAGACCACCCGTATAGTATAAAAGGAGGGGTGCTCTATGGATATTGCTCATTTTTCAATTTTGGTCCAGAATTTTTTTAAACCCATTTTCATCACTCTACCTTCTCTGGGAACCACCCAGGTATTCAGAATACCATAAAACCTGTAATATCTCGATTCCTGTTCTAGATATCAAAAACATGTCGACTGACAAAACATTGCTGATATTATTATAAACAATTTATCAATTGACAACTTTTTGATATCTTTGACAAGAACCGAGATAATTTAGCACAAACTTGAGAGGCTCTTTTGACACAGGTTTAACGGTAATATGTAAAACGTTAAGAAAGCTTTCTATGCCATTAATGTATCTAATACCTGAGTTAATGTATCTAATACCCCGTACCATGTATCTAATACCCCGTACCATTAATGTATCTAATACCCCGTACCATTAATGTATCTAATACCCCGTACCTGGCACGGAGCTCACCAACTGAAAAACACAATTTTGTCAGTACTGGCCAAAAAGGTATTCGCAAATAGTTTTTCGAGCATAACTTTTCTGAAACTTCCCGGATCAATCTGATATTTTAAGACAAAGTTTCAAACGGTAAAAGAAACTGATTCAACAACAAGAATAGTCAAAATTTCAAAAAATTGAAAAAAAAATCGAAAAATTCATGAAAATTGCAAAAAACCGGTAAATGGAACTTTGACTTCTGAGATCTAGGATAGACCGGTAAACGAAAAATTATAATAGAAAATGAATAAAATAGCTTTAGTACTTCGTTGGGAAGCCTTTGGCGTCGATTACCGTTTGACATCTTCTTGGCATCGAGTCGAGAAGGGTGTCGATGACAGACATCGGGATGGCCTGCCAGACATCTTGGAGTTGGTCGAACTTCTGGTTGGCATTCGAGGCACGAACCCCTCTAAGCTGTCTCTCGACATGCTCCCAGAGGTGTTCGATCGGATTCAAGTCCGGAGATTGACTTGGCCAGTCCAGAAGATCCACGTGGCGGCGTCGGAACCACTCCTTGATGTGCTTCGAGGTGTGCTTCGGGTCGTTATCCTGTTGGAAAACGAGCGCCCGGCCCACAGTAGACCTTGCCCAGGGTCTCATTGTGTTCTCCAAGATGTCTTCATACACAAAGCGATCCATGATGCTTGTAATTCTTCTCAGCGGGCCGATTGAAAACCCAGAGAAGCAGCCCCAGACCATCACCGATCCACCTCCCTGCTTGACAGTTTGGAGCTGGTAGCTGGGATCGAACCGACATTCAACCGGACGGCGAATCCACTTGATACCGTCAGTACCGAACAGATTGAACTTGGATTCGTCGCTGAACACGTGATTAGCCCAATCCTGACGTCCCCAGTGGAGATGAGCTCTGGCCCATGCTACGCGGGCGATTCTGTTCTTCTTGCTGATCGATGGTTTCTTAACTGGCCGTCGTCCATGGAGTCCAGCATCTTGAATACGTCTTCTGACGGTTCTCAGGGATGGTGTGACTTCATTTGGAGTCTTCACGACCATCTGAATGTTCGTAGAACTCCTATGGGGATCCTCTCTTGAAGCTCGGACGATGTTCCGATCCATGTTCTTAGACGTGATACGCGGTCTGCCAGTCGATTTTCGCTCCACCAAGGCTCCCTAAACATTTTTTTTCCATAACTATACTATTTTCGAATATTACCTCATCCGGAAACTGCTTCAAGATCTTGTCGATGGCACGTTTAGTAACATTGAACTGGTGCGCCAAGAGGTCCTTGGAACATCCACTTCTGAAGCAGATGACGATGGCTTAAAGGATGTCATGAGAGATGTTTTTTTTTTCCGAGGGGTCTGGCCATGTCTGTAAACAGTTTTAAATACATAGGAGCCGAAACCAACATTCTTAGAAACCATAATATCCAAAAATATGGTTATATGAAAAAAGTGAAAAAACGTAACAATTGAAAAAATTGAAAAAAACAAAAAATTTCTGAAAATGACGCAATTTCCTTGTACGCAATTTGTCGTCACCGTGTACGACATGCACAGTAAAATTTTCAGATCGATCCCTTAAGTTTCAGCAAAGTTACTCTCAAAAACCCGTTTGCGAATACCTTTTTGGCCAGTACTGTATTTCAGGTGAAATGACAATTTGACCGCAGTAAAATTTACAACAACAATCGCTGATAGTCCTATTGAATCAGATGAAGATTGAAGAAGAAACAAAGAAGCGGAGCAATCAAAATTTTATGCATGAAACAAAATGTGAACTATAACGGCAAAAATAGCGAGGCCCAGAAAATGGAAAAATGGGAAAATCATTTTTACAATTAAATAATGATGTTTGCTTCAACCAACTGTCATCAGGAGAATCCTGCATTGTGCTACTGTATGAAATGCAAGTAGTCGGTGAGTTTTTTCTTCATGGTAAATTTATTAGAAAATCAAAAATGTCTTTGCCCGATAGGAGATAAAAACTCGTAGCACCAAATCGAAGTTTCAGACCAACTTACGTTGCTCAACAGGCTAGATTATATTTTTATTCTTCATCAAAACAACAGAAGACAAATAATGAGAATACGTTGCTAAAGATATTTCGCGATGTCCGATAGTTTAGGAAAAGCAATCGAGCTCACCGTCATTAACCGATTATTGCCATGCTCCCTCCAGAAGTGATGAGCTTTATTTGAATTCCCGCGGTTAGTACAGTTTCCTGAAATTCACGATACTCTCCGCCCTAATTCCATTTTGCAGATCATCGCCGTGTGCAAAAGTCAGCAAATTTACTTTCGAATCGAGAAAGAATATTCATGTGCTGAAGTACTGTTATTCAGTGAAGATTTGATCAACCC